TTGATTCCCGGTCAGGGTACATGCCCAGGTTGTGGGCCCAATCCCCAGTGTGGGGCATGCAGGAGGCAGCCAATTGATGTTCTCTCTCATTGATATTTCTAATCTCTCTCCCCCTCCCTTATTTTCTCTCTCTAAAAATCAATCAATAAAAAAATTAAAATGATGTAAAACTATACAATTGTCATTTTTTTCTTACAATGAGACAGTATTTTAATTTCACACTAAATGATACGAATTCCTTCAATTATATATTTTGACTCTGGCGAATAATGATATATTATCTGCTCAGAGATATGCTAGGTTCAAATTTTGTACATTTGACGTAACTGTTTGAAGGATTTCTTTCACTTTGTTGTTTTGTTTTTTTTCCCTTAAATGAATCAGACAGATTTAAACATTAAAAACAATACTTTGGAGCATCTCTCATTTATATACAGCACATCATTTGTATTTCTATGGTATGAATCCGAATAGACAGTAGGTGAATTTCATTACAATCTTAAAATTGGCTGAATTGTTGCCATGGTGAATCAGGAGTCCACACAACAGGTATATGCCTTGATTATGCTATACATTTCATTCACCTAAATGATCAGATTTACTAAGCAGATAAAGTTATGATATACATATCAAGTATGCTCCAGAAAAATAAACAATAAAATTTACTCACACTTCATATGGTTCAGATAAGAAAATTTTCGAATATTGTAAAAGACTATGTTTATATGTGGGGCAAAGAAAGTTTAGAAAGTTCATTAAATATATTGAGTTTATAGAATGATTATCAGATATACATGATGGAATTTAGCCTGGGATAGATCAAGTACAACTCAGAATCGGATGTCCTGGGCACCACCATCTGAATCTCTAGATTTCCAACTGTCAACATAGAGCAACAAAGGAGAACTCTCTGGGATCTATGAATCCGGGTACCACTGAACACTGTCCATTCCCATAATAGAGAAGCACTGGAGACTATAACACAGCAACTTGGAAACATAGCCTTGTCTATTTAACTCCCTGTTAATAAATCTTATACATCAATTATACTTCACGTGACTATGTCTTTTCCAAAGCAGTTTCCTCAATGGTTCATTCTTTGTTATCTAACAGTTATGTCTTCTCTTATGCTTTTAATGAGGTGACTATATTAGCTATAACAAAGAATCAAGAGAAACCAACATCCTATAAAGGTATTCACAGCTTTGTCTCTATGAAATTGCAGTTAAATGACTTTCCTTCTAAATGCCCATAGCTTTTAAACTGACCACAGAAGCACCCTTTGCCTGATTGCGAAATGGTGACTAAAATGATCTGTATAAGCATCCATCTCATGGACTTTAAGCCCTTTATCCTGGTATTATTTTATTTTTAAGCCATCTTTTAATTTTTTAAAAATATTTTGGGAGCATATAATCAAAATAGTTATCTGAATTCTTAGTGCATTTGACCTACATAAAAAGCTATGATATTGGGTAAAAAGTAATCTTTTCATAGTACAATTTTTATTTGCATTGACTTCTAAATTGTTTTTCTTTATTGATTTTAGAGAAAGAGGAAGGGGGAGGGAGAGAGAGATAGAAACATCGATGAGAGAGAACACTGATTGGCCGCCTCCTGCATGCCCCCACTGGGGATCGGGCCCACAACCTGGGCATGTGCCCTGACTGGGAATCAAACCGGTGACCTCTTGGTGCATGGGTCGATTCTCAACCACTGAACAATACCAGCCGGGCTGACTTCTAAATTTTAAGTCAGAAATCTTGTAATAATGTGTTGAAAAAAACTTCATGGCACCAATCAAAACACTCTGATTATAGACTATTATCCTGACTGGTTATTATAAAATACCATGCTGTGTTCATACATCATAGAGATTTTTAATTCATAAAATACCAGAGGGATTCATAATTTTCTGCATAGTTTTTCTTTGCATCTCCCTACAGTCTTTTTAGAAAGTAAGAATTTTATTTATTTATGTATTTAAAAAATAGGAAACAATAAATCCATTGCTTTGAACTGGCAAACAACCTTCCATGGTCTGGCCTCAACCACTCTTCCCAACTTTATCTCCGCCTCACACACCTAAGCCCCAGAAAAAGAGAGGAGCCCATTCTTCCTGAAACATAACCCGCTCGGCCCCAGGTTTCTGCCTTCATCCACGCTGCCTGAAAGGCCCTCCTTTCTCACATTCTTCTCTGCCAGGCTGTGCACCCAGTATTAGCTGCTCCCACTTATTCAGTGCTCGCAACAGGCTGTGCTTTGCACTCAGAGCCTTCTTTCATTTGCACCTAACAACACTCTTTTACAACGTGTGAGGAAACGTGGGCTAGTCATGCAGATAGTAAATGGCAGATCTGGGATTCGCACCCACGTTGACTCCAGATGTCACACTGTGCTACATTACTTAACACTGTGATATATTAATTCCAAGTCGCAATAAAGTCACAGGATCAAAAGAAAAATCATCATCTTCCCATGGATGTTTCACTGGCCGCCCTACCTTTCCTCCCTTTACCTGCCCCTGTCTCGCTCTGAGGCCAAACTGTAATTTGTCACTGATGAAGGTAGAGATGTACCCATCATGTTTCCTCTACTGGGCATTCTGATTCATCTTAACAGTCTTTTTGTTAAATAGTGAAATGCCTTGCATATGGTAATCCCGCTACATATGTTGGTTATATGAATTCACCATTGACAGAATTAAGAGAGAATACAGACTGTATCAGAAATGACCTCTGAAAAATAACTTAAAAATTGATTTAGCAGGCCTATAATTTGATAAACAATTATCACAACTTGAAATAGATTCCTTCAAAAAAAATTTTTTTTTTATCCTCCCCTGAGGACATTTTTCTATTTTTTGTTCAGATAGAGTTGGAGGAAGAGAGAGGAACAGAGAGAAAGAGAGAAACATCGACGTGAAAGGAACACATCGAGTGGCTGCCACCCGCACGACCAACCAGAGCCAGGGACAAACTGCAACCGAGGTACGTGCCCTTAGCGGGAACCGAACCCGGGTCTCTCTGGACCGCAGGCTGACACTCTAACCGCTGAGCCAAACCGGCCAGGGCCAAATTTGTTTTTTTAAACTTGAGTTTATGAAAGTGATCAGTGGTTTGGGCATTCCAGTTAAATCCACTCATTCAATCACATGCAGATTTTAAAATTTTTACTGAATCAGACAATAGTATTCAAAACTATTGTTCTAGGATAATAGGTAAATTTTTGTTACTCTAAAGAACCAGTTAAAAATGAAAATAATTCTTTACAATGATGACTATATATACTACTATTTTCTTTTCTTTTCACTGAGCTCATTCACATTTCTGCACATACACATATATCAACTCATCAGATAATAATAGATAGTCTGGAAGGAAGAATAAAATCATCTAATTTTTCTTACATGATATCAAGCAAATAAGACTATTTTTCATTCTTAAAGATAAACGGAAGGCTTGAATACTATTTAGAACAACCTAAGTTTATCCACTTATTCTCTTTCATTTAAGAGGGGAAGTGATTTGAAAAGTTTGAGGCTTCTCCCTCATAAGCCATCAAAAGATCACACTTTCTTCCCTTTGCTTGAAATGTTGACATTACATTTTATTTTGACAGTTGTTTGATAGAAGTTTTAGAGTCTGACTATTTCTGTTAAATAATAATAACTACAACTCTTCACATAATCACTACTACATAATAAGATGTAAAATCAGATTCAAGATTTGCCTTTTAGACTTTCTTACTTAAATTTAAAATATGCATTGATAAAATTACATAATAAAGAAAAAGGTAATTATTCAGAGGTTGGTAGCAACTTACTAATGAATTTAGAACAAAGATTCTTGGAAGAATTCAATATTAGAATTGAACACCATTTTTTCTTTTAACTTCTGCAATTTAAAAACATTCACTTCACTTTGAAAAATTGAAATATTAAAACAAATTTTCTAAAGCAGAATTATACTACTTTTAAGAATACTAGAGTTTCCCTCAAAAATGAATTACTTTGGAATAATTTTTCTTGGACTCATAAATGATCCTTTCCATCCTCAGTAACTTAAAGCACAAGTAACTAAGTCATGATTGTTAATTACACCTATTGATTATCAGTGATAGCCTAACATCCTATTCAATTATCTAAAGTAAGACTGAGCTTGAGACCCAGATAATATAGCAGCTTTATAACTTAGAGGAGAAGAAAAGTTGGTTTTCACAATTAGGCCCATACTAGGATCAGTGCTGAGTTATTTTCTTGCTTCTTGTTGAAAGGAATGGGTCACTTTATTTACTTTAGGTGAGTTTCTGGAACCTAAAGTAAATAAAGCAGTAGCTCTTTGGGTCAGCATTCTGACTTAGAGAAAATTAAGACATTTTCTCCAAGCATTAGGTGCTCTTTGAGCTGAGTTCTTCTCCAATTAGAATGCTGTTAAATGCGATACCATTTGTTGTTCAACTTACTGCCTAGAACTTACAAAAGAGTTTTTAGACACGAAATACAGAAAGCTAAAAATTAAGGGCAGTGTTTACCGGGATAAAATGCCCCTCTCACACTCACACCACATTTCTGTTTATCATACTGGTGTTACCTTGAGTGTACTCTGAAATACATGCATAACTCTATCCCTGTTTGCTCCTGGTACAAGACAATGATGTGACACTTTCATTTCGATTTTCCTTGTAAAAGAAACAAGAGGCTGGGTCTGCCCTTGACAGGTTTGACCCCTCATGAGCACCTTCTGCAGATTCAGCTGGTGAAAACGGCCCCCTCCCCAACTTTAAACAAAGGCATTTAATTTGGTCTTAAGCCAAGGTAAGGAACAAAACAATTACTGGGCTAAATAAAAGACAACATAAAGAGGCATAGCCTGCCAACATGAACCTGCACGCAAGCCTGGGGAGATTTATGATTTTCGGCCCCTGGGAGGGGGTGACTAACGCACGCACACTGACCCGTCACCTTAAAGAGGTAAAGAGAGTGAAATGGCTCAACGTACACACACCCCGCTCCATACCGGGGACGAGTCTCCGAGCTGCGGCTTGTGCTGTCGGAGGGCCAGGCTGAAGCTGACCGCCCCCACGGCCACGCTGGACACCCCCAGCCCTATCTCCAGCACGGAGAGCACCAAGAGGCTCCCAATAATCTGGCTGCTGGTGCACATCCTTCCTCGGTCATCATTCCTTCCAGATCAGAGTGGGAAACCGACCATCCACCTTCTGTCTTCCGCTGTCCTCCTTCCCCCGTTCCCCCCCTACCAGACCCCAAAACTTTTCTTTCTTCACCAGTGAAGCATTATCCACAAGGGCTGGATTTCCAGAACCGGAGACCCTCTTCCCTGACTGGGCCAGAGGCGAGAGAGCCGCTCCACCCCTGGCACGCTCAGACAGGGATCGGGGAGGATCAGAGGGATCTGAAGGATCGGTGGTCGGTCGGGGTCCAGGAGAGGAGAGGAGAGGAAGCCAGGCGCAGGGCTTCCCAAAGGCAGCAGGAACCTGGAGCCGCCGGGAGCCGGAGTCCCGCTCGCCAGGCGCTGTCCAGAGTTCTGCCGCGTCCCGAGTCTCCGCAGGGAAACCCGCTCCCCCTTCGCCTCCCAGACCGCCGGCTCCCCTTCCTTTCCTTGCCAAGGAGATGAGCTTTGCTTCCGGAGATGCCGAGCTAAACTGCTCAGAGCCTCTCCCGCTCCCGCGCCTCTCCTCTCCTTTGTTTTTGTGGCAACACAAAGTGCTTCTGCAAGTCCCTCGGTCCCCAGGCTCAGCGGGGGGATGATATTCAGCACCACGCTCCTTGCAGTTGCTGTGTCGCCAGAAAAAGCGACCTTGTCTGATGGCCTTTTCCCGTCTGGGTTTCTTCTCCCTCGTCGTCCTCCCTCTCTCTCTTGATCTGATTCTCTCTCATCGCAGTGACCTCATTGGGATTTAAGAGGTGGATGAAGGAGGGAAAATCCTGGTCGAATTGTGGGTCTAGAACCAAGACTTTTGGCTGGCCCTTAATTGGTCCCACTCGGGGACTCTAACCTCAGCGACACAAGCAATCCCCACCTCCGCATCTCCCCCACTGGCTCCCTTCTGGGCTTCTATCCAGATGGGAGGGGAAGTGATGCCTACGTCAACAGGGCTCCTTCTGTGTAAAACTTACTTCTGCGTGTATGTGAGGTGGGGTGGGGGCGCAGCAGGCAAAAAGAGGCAGAGAGAGCGCAGGGGATGGAGAAGGGACAGACTCCTAAGTTCACTAGGACTCTGGAGGACCCTCACCGTGAAATTCCTCTCTCCGGAAGAGGAGACTCAAGGCTGCTCATAAGAAGTATCCACCCTCCTGTCACCTTTGTTATCTGGGGGTGGAGGGCATGCAGTTGGCTGGGGCCACACTTAGACGAGGGTGCGGCTGACAGACCCTTGCTGTCTCCTGGAAGTGCTGCTCAATGTTCTGGGATGCGTTGCCTGATCCAGCAGGACTGGGACCGTGTGTTCTCACTGGAATTCAAGAGATGTGTACATTTAAGTATTACATTGAAAAGGATGCTATTAAAAACAAAAATCTGGCCAATTGCACAACTATTTGTCAGCCTGCCCTTGTCAGAATCATTAGGTCAGGGGCCAACCTTGACTTGGGTATTTTGGTGTGGTAGCCTGATGCACACGGGACTCTAGAAGGCTGCAAATCAGTGTTGGGACCCTGTTTTCATGTCTCTGATTGTTACCCAGTGAAAATCACAAGGTATTCCAACAAGAAGACAGGAAATAGTGGACTGAGAAGATGTTTGAGGGCGTGGATTATCTTTCTCAAAAAGTGGATTCATCAGTTGTAAATGGATTGATGGAAAATAGAAAAGAAAGGAGGATTGAATTAGGACATATTGACAAGACCAGGGTGTCTTGACCTCTGAATACATGCAGACTAGCATAGTGTGGGCACTTTTCTCACTAGAAGCTTCTTTTTTTTTTAAAAAAAAAAATCCCAGTTATGAGAACATAAGCTGAGTGACAGTCAAGCTGAAGCATAAGCAGCACTTTCAGTTTTCTTACATTTGAGTCTGGGCTTGTTCCATAGTTTAATTCAATTTTACACTATAATTTAATTTGCTATATTTATACTCTACATTTAAAAAATTGAGTCTTCGCTTATAAGTCAAAAGGCAAGGAAGATAGAATTTTAAGTTATTAGGCTTTAAAGAGTCCTCAGTTATTGGATATTTGGAGGACAACTAAAACATTTATGTTGACTAATTGGTGGATTCACCTTCTACTTCTTAAAAACTCATTCCACCAAGCAGTCAGTTGTTAAAATCCTTCAACTAGTTTTTGGCTTTAATGAAGCATAGGTTCCTTTATTTAAATCTTATAGAAGTCATCTAAATGATCCGATTTATGGGTGGAAATCATGAAGCATCTCACTACATAATTTTGGTTTGTCTTTAGTCATTGCTGTTCTATTATTATTATTATTATTATTATTCCCCATTAGGAAGAGAATATCAAGTTATAGTTATTGTTAAAATAGAACACACACACATATATAGAAAGGAATATAACTTGTATAAAGGGAAATGAATTTTGTAGAGAACATAGAGGTAGTGTAAATAATCGATGACTTTCACAGAGAAAGAAATGGGAAAATCATGTATTATAGTTGAATTTTTGTCTCTGAATGTTATAGATAGAATATGTTTACTTAAATATCCCAAAACCTAATCATATACTTCAATATAACCATTGATCCTTATTGGTACAAAATCTAAAACTTGAAAATCAAATGTACATGAAAGAAATTAAATTCATCTTCATGTGTCAATTACTATCAAGAAGTCACACTAAAACAGAAATATCTGTAGAAATAAAATAAAATAAAAATTATTACCCACCAAAGAAATTACTGTTTTGTGTTTAAAAGCACGAGGATCATTGCTGTTAAAACTTTCAAAAGAATATTATGTTACCTGTTCTGAGAGACAAAGTATATATTGCATTACCGTTTGAACAATGTAAAGACCTCCCCCAAAGTAAATGTAAGAGCAGCTAAAATTTACTCTTAATCATGGAAATTACAGCACAAAAATAGGTTCAAGCTGGCATTCTGTATGTTTCAAAACTATTTGTTACAGAGAACTAAATAAGTACATTGCTATCCGAATACCAGTGGCTCCATAATTAGAGGGTTTAATTTTTCTTTTGCCATGGTACACCAAAAGAACTATTCATGAAATCCATTGATATATTGTTTAATACATCTTCAACAAGAGCAATAGTACAAAAAAATCTTAAGTTTGCCACCTGCTGGCTTATATATGATACAATGAATATAAATGTGTGCATAACCTCAAATTAAGTCTTATTAATCATAGCAGGTAATCAGAATAAAAATCCTTCACAATTATTCTCTTTAAGGACCTAAGTTCTGCCAATAAGTATTTATTGAGATCCTTCTGTACCCATTTAGCCAAATAACATTTATAGACACTTTAATATATGATAAAGGAGAATCTAGAAGTTGGTAAACAAATATCACCTGTCTTAATCTAATGAAGTGAGTTGAAGAAATAATTAAATCACTAATATAGGGTTAGTGACTGAAAAGGTCAAAATTTGAAACTGATTGATTTTGAGATCTGGATTAGTGTTCAAGCTATTATAAGCTAAATTTGTATTGTGATCCTAGGCACTGAACTCAATGACCAATAAATGTAGTATTGAAGATTAAGGAAAAGAAAAATCACAAAATTGTTACAAACCATGTAGCAGTTTTTAAGTGCTGTAAGTCTATTTAATATTTTAATACTATTGTCAGTATGGTTAACAATGGTTGTACCCGAAGACCAGGTTTTGATAAAGTAATTCAACCAGAATGGGAAAAAAGAAAACAAACTTTTGAGAAGTTTTTTCTTATTTAAAGATCAAGAAGCAAAGATAACTGAATCTGAATTTAAGTTTTACCTTTTTTGTCTATGGTAATAATATAGTTTAGAAGTTATTATCTAATGGTAATGTCAGTGCTTATGAAAATAAGAGCAAGTATAGTACTTAGTATGGTATTTATTATAATTTCCACTTATGTCTAAAGTATATTTTTATTATTAATGACTTTTAAAGTTATTTCTGTTTTTTAATAAAGAGTGTGGGTATTTCTACTCCTGGCCATTCTGGAGTAATTGGCATTGGACTTACTCTCCTACTATATATAATATATTTAATAAACAGAGTTCAAGAGTCCCTGTTGAATATTCAGGCTTCATTGTAGAACACAGGTGGGGGGCATATGTAAGAAGTGGGGCTAAGCCATATCTGGAGGAAAGACAACTCTATAGTTTACCTTTAGATACTTAAAACAGACCCTTGAAATATCTTTCTTTAAGTAATGTATCGAAGTCTAACACAGTCGACCCTCCTTTATCACAGTTAATCAGTTCTAGACTCTACCGCCATAAGTGAATTTCTGCAAAGTAGGATTCTTTATTTATATACAGTCGTCCCTCGCCACTCTATCACGGTTTTTTCAGATACTATGCTATACTATACTATACTATACTATACTATACTATACTATACTATACTATACTATACTATACTATAATTTGAAAAAAACACAATAGAGTGAAGCTGTGAAAGTCGAAGCACGAAGTGGCGAGGGACGACTGTACATCTTTAAAAAAATGACAAAAACCATGACTCAATAATGTGAAACGCACAATATACACTACCCAATTCACAACTGAGATGTAAAGATGCAGGAAAACGTGATCCATAACTAGGATATTAGAAAGGATGGAATTAGCTAACACTTTAAAACCTCTATTATAAATATCAGAAATTGTTCAAAGATGAAGAGACAAACATTGATGTAATAAGGATATAAATTGAAGATATAACAAAGGAAAAAATATAATTTCTATAGATGATAATGATATATCTGAAATGAGATATAGTGTATGTGAAATTAATAGACTAGAAAATGAAGAAGAAAAAAAATCAGTGAACATTAAGACACTAAAAAATTAAAATAACAGATAGAGCCCTAGCCAGGTAGCACAGTTGGTTAGGGCATCGTCCTTAGGTGCCAGTGCTGTGGGTTCTGTTCTGGGTCAGGGCACATGCAAGAATCAAACAGTGAATGCATAAATAAGTGGAATAATAATGTGATGTTTCTCTCTCTCTCTCACTCTTGCTCTCTCTTCCCTTCTCTCTCTAAAATCAATACATTAAAAAATTAAAAGT